CAATGCGCGTGGTGTTCATAGTGCTCATAATTGCCGCGGTGATCGGAGCAGGCTCCATGATCCCAGTGCTAGCTATGGCGCCTGGTCTGAAAAAAGGCGCGAAACTAGTGTCTGATGGACCAGGGAAAGGAGGGAGGGCTGAGTGACGACATGGCGTACAGGTACAGGGAATTAAAATCAAGAAAGGTGGCTGTGCATCAGGGAGAAACACAAACAACTGTCACACAGAATGGTCCCCCCAAAGATTAAACTGAAAACCCTGGGCTTAGCAGGCCATTGATTTCACGGAGGGAGGGGAAGCAAATGAATATAGAACAAATCTATTTTTTTACATCTTAAGCTGGCAGCCGACGGTGCAGCATGACTGATAGCCTCTGCAGTACGACGATGATGGATATCAATTGGAATATGCCATCTTCTACCAAAAGGCAAGGGGCTGCTGCTGTGTAGCAATGCAGCCCCACATCTGCCAGCTCCACGTCTGCCAGCACCCAGATTGCCCTCGGCCTCTTCTGGGTGCTTAGCAGACAATACTGGGCAATTGGCAGAAAATAGCATACTACAACTGATAGCCATCATCATCAAGACAGTAGCATGTCTGCCCAGGTGCCAATGATTGACAGCCACTGCAGTACGACGACGATGGATACCAGTCGTAATATATCATCTACCAAAAGGCAAGGGGCTGGTGCAATGCAGCCCTACGGCTGCCAGCCCCACGGCTACCAGTCATGCTACACCATCTACCGCCAAAAGGCAGTTAGCTGCTGCTGTGTAGCAATGCAGTACCACGTCTGCCGGCACCCAGATGACATATGGTGACGCTGAGCTGAGCTGAGCGGGCTCCATGCTTGCCGTGGTATGTTGTCTGCACAGGTAACCCAGGTAAAAAGGCGCGAATCTATTGTCTGCCGGTGCTCTAACGGAGGGGGAGGGGCCTGATGACATGTACCCAGAACCCCCCGCGACACTGTTTTGCATCATTCAGGCACTGGGATTTCAACCCAGAATTCCAATGGGCTGCGGGAACTGTGGGATAGCTACCCATAGTGCAATGCTCCGGCAGTCGACTCTAGCCTCGGTACTGTGGACGCGGTCCGCCGACTAGAGCACTTAGAGCATTTTATGTGGGGACACACACAATCGGCTGTATACAACCGATTTCTATAAAACTGGCTTCTATAAATTCGACGTAATTTCGTAGTGTAGACATACCCTAGTTGACTACTGGGGGGGTGTTGGGGAAATTCGGGGTGGGGGTGTAGGGAAATCCCCAGTACCAAGCTTGCCTGTTATCAGCTCCACACACTATCTTAGTGCTGTGTGCCTGTGCTATACACTGAGGCTGTCTGTTCTTAGAACAGAGCACTGCTCTCCCTTAAACATTCAAACTGAAGTTTTCCATGGCAGGTATCTGCCTCTGGGTGAATTTTCTGGAAAGTTTGTATAAAATAGAACCTGTTGGATGTGACCTTCATATCAAATCCTCATTTTCCTTTGAGCTTATTTTTTTGTCCTGGTGCATTTTGCAGCCCAATTCACAGTGATTGGACCCAGTGACCCTGTCATTGCCATCGTGGGTCAGGAAACAGTGTTATCTTGTCACCTGTCCCCCAGGATGAGTGCTGTAAACATGGAGGTGAGATGGTTCCGGTCTGAGTTTTCTTCCTTTGTGCACTGCTACCATGATGGGAAGGATCAGTATGAAATGCAGATGCCAGAGTATCGGGGAAGGACGGAGCTTTTGAAAGCTGGGCTCACAGATGGAAACATTGCCTTGAGGATTTTCAATATCAGACAGTCTGATGAAGGACTATACCACTGCTTTGTTCAAGATGATACATTTGATGAAATAACTGTATTGGAACTGCAGGTAGCAGGTCAGTGGCTTGTGTCTGTATTATCTTTGTGTGGGCTGCAGGCTTTATTCTTTCTTATTACAGTAACTCGGACTCCCTGCTTGTGAATTGTTTTAGAATAACACAGTGCATCTAAATTTCAGCAAACAGCAATGTTCATACTTGGGGGAAATAGTCTGAAAACTTCCCCAACATGTTGTTAAAAACATTTTCAGGATGGCGAAGGCACTTTCTTGCCCAAAATAAATTTTTGTTTGAAGTTAGGAGAGAAAGGACTTCTGGACAAATATGGCCTTCCAGTTGCTCTGCAGCTGTTTCTAGGATGTGTGGCTATGGTGGGATTGCCACACTTTTATGGCCTTCTTATTGGTTCACTGCTGGTTGTTACTTAGAAATTATTTAAAATCGAATGCAGCCTTGTTATTTGCGGAGGCAGTATAATGGTGATGGTGGGTGGGTGGGGTGGGAAGTTATGTATTTTCTACTCTTACACAAGACTGAGCATTTCTCCCCTGCTCCTTTGACACTGTAACCATTAAGCCAGTTATATATATATCTCCATCCAATGCACTAAAAACCAGATTTTCAAAGAGTTCAGGTCCTATTTAAATATCTAAATCAAGTGTCATATCGCCAAAGGTGCTCAGCACTCAGTTACTCCTGTGTTAAGATGACAATATTTCCCACTGACTCGGTGAAATTATTTTAAATACTTGTTCACATTTTTGTGTCCCCATACGTGTTGGGATTTCAGAGATTCCAGTATTCATTTATCCCTTCCACTGACTATCCATGTGAATTAGTGCTTTCTAGTGTGAGTAAGGGACCCACAAACTGTCCCTTTTCCCTTATGCTTTATAAATTAATTCATGGAATTAACACCATTTTATGTATTTTTCCTCTTAGGTCTAGGCTCTGCTCCTCTCATCTCTGTTGAGGGTCACCAGAATGGAGGGATCCGGGTGGTTTGTCAATCAACTGATTGGTACCCAGAGCCTGAAGTACTGTGGAGAGATCTCAGTGGGAGATATCTACTGTCAGTCTCTGAAACAACATCCCGAGATGATAACGGCCTGTTTGAAACAAAAACTGCTATCATTGTAACGGAGCATTCAAACCAAAACTTGTCCTGCTGCATCAGGAACACCATTCTTAATCAAGACAAGGAATCAGCCATTTCTATAGCAGGTCAGTTACCATCCAAACCCCACTCTGAACTCACCACCACTAGAAACTAAACAAAACATAGGAAGAAAAGAACTGAAGAATCTGTAGTGGATATTTCATAATCCACATACAAAAAGAAGATGGGAGGCTGGTATATTTGCAGAGTCAGAACAGAACAAGGAGTAATGGTCTCAAGTTGCAGTGGGGGGAGGTTTAGGTTGGATATTAGGAAAAAACTTTTTCACTAGGGAGGTGGTGGAATCTCCTTCCTTAGAGGTTTTTTAGTTGGGGATTGGTCCTGCTTTGAGCAGGGGGTTGGACAAGCTGACCTCCTGAGGTCCCTTCCAACCCTGATATTCTATGATTCTATGAGTCACAGTTCAGGCAATTTGATTCCCTTAATTATATTCAGACTATCAAAGATTTGGATTTCATGTAAATTTAATGTTGAGTCCGACTTTCCTGATACTCTAGCACAAAATAAAAGAAACAAACAAAAACAAAAAACCCAAAAGCAAAAAAAACAAAGCTTCCAACATTTTTTAGAAGAAATTTTCACTCAATCCACTGACACTTTCTATTCCTGCAACCTTAAATGCACCATAAATGACTTTTTTTAATTGTGCAAAAAGAACAGGAGTACTTGTGGCACCTTAGAGACTAACAAATTTATTAGAGCATAAGCTTTCGTGGAC